GTGTTGTATATGAGTTGTTTGTTCGTTTTAGATATTGTTTGGTCCCACAGAATGCCGTTCATCATGGATATGGCTTTTCTACCCTGTATGTTTCTGTCTTTTATAGAAGCATCGAGTGTTCCATCTTGAGTTATCTTCATACCCAAGTACTTGTATTCATCACAGTTTCTAATTTCTACCCCATCGTCTAATATAATGGACTGTTTTGTCCCTCCAATACACATGGCTTCATAGTGTTGACTTCGAGACCCCATTTGTTATATTCTTCTATTAGCTTCCGAGTCATGTAACTCAAGTCGTCATGACCCTGGGCAATCAGTATTTGGTCATCAGCGAAACATAAGGTGTACAGTGTAGTCATTGAGAGGGATTCCCATGCCATTACATTTTCTTTTCCATAGCTTGAGTGCTTGTTCCAGATAAATTTTGAAAAGGGTAGGCGAAATACAGCCACCCTGCTTTAGTCCTTTCGTGACCTTAAATCCTTCAGATATCCTTGATCCAGTTTTAATTTTTGCAGTCGTTCCATTACACAGACTTTGGACTGCTTTGATAAGACCGTGCTTAATGTTGGTTTGCTGTAGGGTTGACCATAGTTTACTTAGGGGTACACTGTCATATGCTTTTTGTAAGTCAACGTACACCAGGTCAACTTCTTTATTGAAGGCTGTTTTTTTCTCAATAACTTGCGTAATAGAGTACAAGTGGTCTACTGTGGATCGCCTAGCTCTAAAACCAGCTTGCTCCTCTGCTTCATAATCTCTCTCTGCCTTTTGTTTTCTCATTATTTCAAATACTACGGCGTTTATAACTGTCTAAACATTCTTCGGTCGACAAAAAAAAAACCTGTGCCTGCTCCCTAAGTGCAATAATGCAGTTCCCCAAGCAATATTACACCATGTTTCACACAATACGTCGATATATTGTTTATAAGATCTGATTTTAGTTGTCCTGGATATTATTTGCCTTTAATAGGATCTTAATGCTATGCTAAAAACAACTTATTAGATTTTTATCACGAGCAAGTAATTAAAAAATTAAATGTTATTTATCATATCTTTTTTATACAGATTGTTAATAAATTGGGTAAAATATTACAAATATTTTATCATTTACACAACAGCCATTAGTTACATGAAATTTCAATATTTGTACATGCTCCAAATTAATACTGTTAGACAGATTTACATTTAGCATTTAATTGATTATCTGGTATTAATACATGAATTAATAGCCATCTTTCACATACTATTCAATTCCATAATCAGTTTTAACAATTTCTGTCTAGCGTTCGAAAGCAATAACAATAATTAAATGCAGTTAATTATTAAATTTTAAAGTATGAAGTAATAAATCATGTATGATTTGATCAATAATAATGAGATTTTAGAGATACAAAAGTTTTAATTTATTTACAATATAAATTTAATGCTATTGATTTGACAGAAATAGTCCAGTCGCCAGAGATTTGACCTCTAAAAATCATACGAACCAGCTGAATTTTGCTGAGAATGTCAATTTTGGAACCTCAAAAATATGCAAAAAAGTTTACCACTTTTATGACACGGCTTCCCCCCTAAAACACACCCCATCTAAGGAAAAAATCAATTTACCAAGAAACTGCACGACATAGAAAAAAATGTTTCAACTAAAAAATGTCTTCTTCTAGTTCTTTTTATATTATAGACATGGCTCTGTCTATTTTTAAACGTATCTCCAGTAAGTTGTCGTTCCATCGATTTCGTGGTCTTACTACTGATCGTCTTCCTATTGGGGAACCGTCTCTGGCCATCTTTACACTATATTTGTTGAAATTCGGTTTATATGATCGTTCCATTCTACTCTTCTGTTTCTTACCCAGTTCTTGATGTTCTCCACCTTATCACCTTGCATCTACGTCGTATGTCTGTACTTCTAGCTCTGTCCCATAGTGTCTTACCATACATTTTTCTGTGTTTTCATCTCTGCTGTTTCTTACGTCCTTTTGTCCTCTCTGTATCAGGTCTTGTTTCTGCCGGGTATGTCATTATTGATCTGATGACTGTTCTGGAAATTCAGCCTTTCGTTTCTTTCTCGATATTTTTATTTCTCCATATTTTTTCATTTAGGCAGCCTGCGGCTCTGTTTGCTCTATTCACTTGAGCTTCCACTTCGGTTTCGAGCTTTCCGTAGCTAGATAATGTGATGTCTAGATATTTAAACTTTATCACTTGTTCTATTATCTGACCTTCTTGCTCCAATTTACAAATTAGTAAATTTGCTGTTGTAACCACACATTTTGTCTTTTTTGGGGAAATTAACATTTTTGTGCAGCATACGTTGTAAATCATCTTCACTTTGAGAGAGTAGGATTGCGTCGTCTGCATAGCAGATTAATTTAAGTTGATTTTCTTCCATTTGGTATCCTTTTTTAGTTCTTACTTTTTTTATTATTTCATCAATACTCAAGTTGAACAATAGAGGACTCAATGAATCTCCCTGTCTTACCCCATGGCCTGCTTCAATAGGGTCGGTTACTTCTTCTCTTTAAGTTTATCCGGTCGAATGCCTTCTTAAAGTCCACGAAACAAAGATATGCCAGTTTTTTGTATTCTAATGATTTCTCTTGCACTTGCCTCATTATAAATATAGCGTCGGTTCATGATCTCCCCGACCTAAAACCTTCTTGTTCTTCTGCTAGTGTTATCATTTCATTCAATTTATTTGTTATCACTTTGGTTGTTAATTTTAGTATTGTGTTTAATAAATTAATTCTTTTGTATTTTTCCGGGTCCGATTTGTCTCCCTTTTTGAAGAGAGGTGTTAGGATGCTTGATCTCCAATCTTGGGGAATTATGTTTTGTTCTATTATTTTTTGGATTAGTTTTAATAGTTGTTTGGTTAGATCTGGTCCTCCGTACTTGAGGAGTTCGTTCGGTATTCTGTCCTCTCCTGGTGATTTTCAATTTTTTAATTTTTTTAATGCTTCCTTTATCTCTTTCTCCTCAATATTTATTTTTTCGTTTGTCGTCACCTCTGGTGTTAATGGTTCATTATCGTTACCTTTAGCAAATAGGGATTTGAAAGTAGTCTATCCATGTTTCCATCTGAATGTGTTTGGATTTTATTAGTTCATTTATCTCTTTTATTTGTACTCTGATCATTCTCCATATTTCTTTTTGTGCTCCGTAGAAGTCGTGTTCCATCTGTTTTGAGAAACTCTGCCAGTGTTCCTTCTTTATTTGTCTAACTAAAGTATTCGTTTCATTTCTAATTCGTTTACAGTGGTTATATGCCTGTTGTGTTCTGTATTGTAAAAAGGCTTTCTTTTTTTATTCACATTTTGTCTTCATTTCCTCTTTAAACCATGGTGTTTTATTTTTTGTTATGTTAGTGTTCGTTACTTTCCTCTCTCCAGGTGATTCTGTTGCTGCATTAATTATGTTATTTTTGAGTTTTTCCCAGCTTTTCTCGATATTATCGTTTTCGAATATTTCATTCCCAGAGATCTTCTCTGATATTTTTTTCCTGTATAAGCATTCGGTGGATTCCGTATTTAGTCATTCGACTTTGATTTTTGTTTGTGTGGGCGCCGCTCTTTTGGGTAGGAAGTATTTCTGGGTTATTCTTATTTTACATGGTTATAACATAATCTATCATAGATCTTTGTCCACAGGTGTTATTAAATGTATATTTATGGTCAAAAAATGTATTGTTTATTCTTAGTTCGTTATTCGTACAGAAGTTGATCATCAGTTCTCTTTCCTATTTTTTTTGTTTAATGTTGGTTATTTATTGATTGCCTATTCGAGCGTTAAAATCCCCCAATATTATCATCTTTCCTCTGACTTGATCTACTACTTGTTGTAATTGGTCGTAAATCGCTTCCCTTGTTGTTTGAGGCTTGTTATTTTCTGGGCTATATACTCCGATGATGTTCTTCCTTCTCCATTTTTATCTTTGCTGTTACTATCTATCTATCTATAGCCCAAAATCTATTCATGTGTTGAATATAGGCCTCTCCCATTTGTCTTCATTTGTCTCTGTCTCTGTCTTTGTCTTCTGTTTTTTTTGCTGTTTCTATTTTTTTTGATATTTATTGACATTCTTTGATGTGATTTTAGTGCCTTTGGTGTATTAGTAAGGCTACACCTTTTTTGGTCCTGCTTTTATTTGCTACTCCACTATAGATTAGTATCAATTCACCTAATTTTAATGGCTTCGACTGACGACGAAGTGATAGCGGTCGTGGGAATAATATTTTTCTTAAAAAAGATAAAACAGCGAAAAGATCGTAGCATCTGGTATAAAGATTGGCTGATTAAAGGAGAAGTTTATTCTCATGTGAATTTGTTGAAGAAACTAAAATTTTTTCGTAAAGATTGGCATAATTTGCTATTGGCCAAGAATGTAGCAAAGTAGCCAAAGTAGCAAAGTGGCCAAAATATTGGCCAAGAATGGATAATGATACTTACTTACATCTGCTTATATCTATGGTAGCGCCAGTTGTGGAAAAGAAAGATACTGCTATGAGAAATGCTATTATACGAACATATACGTATTGATAAAATAGCGCAGTTCCACCGATTTCGATAAATCTATTAAAATTTTTATACTGTTGCATTCGGTGGTACCGTTTTTAAAAATCGTAGAAAACTGTGCAACTTAGAATCGTTATTAATTAACATTAACACGTAATTTAACATTAGCTTAAATCCAAACAAAACGCATGTTCAGGAATCAGGATATGTAAAAAGGTATGTTCAATACATTTCAAACGAGATATTACTTGCCATAATTTAAAATTATCAATCGTAGTGGCTCTGTAACGTCATCTTTTACTATAACGTCACCTGTTAAGTGTTAAGTGAAGACTGGTTAAGAAGCCTAAGTTCGTTTATTTCCTCCCTCCAAATTTCACTATTATCAGTATAATTGTTTAAAATACGATTGGGAAAGCTAACACTGTATATTAAACAAATAAAGTTCTAAAATAAATATTATGTAAAATAATTGTTTACCTTCATAATTAACTTGACCATCTCCGTCTAAATCAGCTTCTTTAATCATGTCATCGACTTCTTCCTCCGAAAGCCGTTCCCCTAAACTGGTCATCACATGACGCAATTCATTTGATGAAATCAGTCCATCATTATTTTTATCAAACACTCTAAAAAGAAGTAAAAAAAATAGTTAAAAACGAAGTTTCGCTAAATAAAAACTTTTCGATCATGTATATAATATACATCTATACATGGATGGAATAACTGCAGAGTCGCTGAAATATGGGGGAAAAATGGTGAAAAAGTGGTAATTAATACTCTACATTCCCTTTTTAACAAGATATTAAAAGAAAAAAGAATCCCAAACAACTGGAACGAATCCGTAACTATTATCCTACACAAGAAAGGGGATAAAGCAGATATAAAAAACTACCGTCCTATAACACTCCTCAATGTAATGTACAAACTCCTAACAAAAATTTTAACCAATAGATTGACGACAAAATTCGACGGATGCCAGTCGAAAGAACAATCTGGTTTTAAAAAGGGATTTAGCACAAGTGACCATTTGCTAAGTATGAAAATACTTATAGAACAAGCAAATTAATACCACATTCCTCTATATATGGCGTTCATATATTTCGAAAAGGCTTTCGACAGTGTCGAACATTGTACAGTGAACAGTTCTTTGATTAACAGCAGAATTGACCACAGATATACGGAACTAATAGCCAACATATATATATATATATATATATATATATATATATATATATATATATATATATATATATATATATATATATATATTGGATTTGAAACTTCCGCGGGAGCTATAAGTGATTTCAGTTGTTTTCCGGGTTTGACTCCGCGTTATGTAATTTTGGTTTTTAGAAAAACCATTGTTTTGACGACGTTTCGGCAAGGTCACACTTGCCATTGTCAAGTCAGATTAGTTCTGCTTCGTCTTGATGTTTCAGGAGAACTTCTCCTGAAACATCAAGATATATATATATATATATATATATATATTTATATATATATATATATTTATATATATATATATATATATATTTATATATATATATATATATATATATATATATATAAATAAATATATATATATATATATATATATATATATAAATATATATATATATATATATATATATATATATATATATATATATATATATAAATATATATACAGTATTGGAAGATTCAAAACGGAACATACGAATTATTAATACAATTATTAAGATCCCCTGACTTGCAATTACCCAGTGTAAATTTCAATATAACGTCACGATGTCTTATAATTAATTCATTTGTTCGACTGGATTGCTACTCCTTGGCGATTTCTAGTAGCGTATTCGACAGGTGTACGTCGACACTGTTGTCTATCGTCCACTGATTTTCTGTGTTTTTGTGCAGATAATAACAATGTTTTATTAATAACAATTTTTTTGTGTTCATTAGATATTATTTGAATTGGTTAGTGTATAGTTTAATATATTTATTATTCCAAATATTGTTGATAATTTAAAATTTAAAAGGATGTATATGATACATCAAAATCTACAGATTTTTGCCGAAGGTATCTATCGATTTGGCAACAGTCACAAGGAACATCACTGGCCGAGCAAAACAAATACATGCCCTTTGCTTTGCTTCTCATTATAACGCCATAAGCTCAAATAAAAGTAGTGTTTTTAACCATAAACCATGTATACAAACAAAGAAAAAGTACAAATTTTAAAATGGTATTATGGGGGCAACTCGTGCCATGATATTATAAATTTATTTACTTGTGCGTATGAAGATAGGCCAATACCGACACAATAAACTATTAGTCGTATTATTAAGGTGAGCACGTGCGCAGCAGTCGAAAAATATCGACTGGAGAAGGAGTCCAGTCGAACAAATGAATTAATTGTAAGACATCGCGACGTTATATTGAAATTTACACTGGGTAATTGCAGGTCAGGGGATCTTAATAATTATATTAATAATTCGTATGTTCCGTTTTGAATCTTCCAATACTGTATATATATATATATATATATATATATATATATATATATATATATATAATATATATATACATATACACATGCAACAGCTGACCTGTTGACATTTTATATTAAAATATGAAATTCCTTATTAAAAACTAATTTCTTGCAGAAATAAAAATTTAATATTTAACTAAGGCCCACCAAATTGAGATTTGAATGATGATCAATTACGGGGAGAATTGTAGAAGTCAAGTTGAAAACTTATTTAATCAGAGGTATTCTCAGTTGCCTAATATTTCACAAGGTACTGTGTCTAAAATATATGCTCCATTCAGAGAACTTGGACATGTCAAACCATTAAAAAGAAAATCGAACTTCATTGAAGATGAAGTGAAATTGGATGTTTTGTTAAGGGTCGCAGAGAATCCAATGTCAAGTTCACGTCAAATTGCACGTCAAAATAATGTGATATTGATAATAAATTGACATTTGTGCAGGAGCTAACAGAAGACGAGAATGGATTTCTGCAAAAGAATGATGGATAAAATTAACAAATGAAATAGGTCTTGGCACAATTCTTTTTTTTGATGAATCAACATTTACATTGAATGGAGAGGTAAACTGACAAAACTGTAGATATTGGTCAGAGGAGAATCCTCATTGGATGCGTGAGACACACACTCGGTATCCTCAAAAGTTGAATGTTTGGCCAGATATTATAGGAGATCATATTATTGGTCCTATATTTCTAGATAATAATTTGACAGCGGAAAAATATTTAAGCATGCTAAGAGCCGATGTTCTTCCTTAGTTGGCTAACTTATATCCCAATTCAATAGATCCGACCTTACCGCATGAAACTGTCTGGTTTCAGCAGGACGGAGCAACACCTCATTATGCTTTAATGGTGAGAAATCACTTGAATGAAATCTTCTTCAATAAGTGGATTTGTTGAAGGGGACTATTGAGTGACCAGCTAGGTCACCAGATCTTAAGTCTTTGGATTTTTTGTGGGGTTATCTCAAGAACAAAGTATATGCAACGCAATCAACTATCATTGAAGACCTCAAAAAGAAAGGATACCTACGGAAATACGGAATATTTCACCTCAAACTTTAAACAAAGTTCGGAACGAGTTTTATAGGAGACTGTATTATTGCCAACAACAAGGTGGAGAACATGCTGAGCATTTATTTTAATGTAATCCAATCAATTACCTCAGGTATTCTATGAATTCATTGTCTTGAAGAAAATACCTAATTTTAAAATTTCACCTTGTATTATTCATAATAGACCTACATGATATAGTTCGTTGAAATAAGGTTGTTAAGGAGCTTTTAAAAACATGAAAATATAAAGGGTGTTTCATTTATGTCTATGTCTATGTTTCATTTATGTCTAAATTTATGTCTAAAAAGCGTACATTTAAATTTAAAAGTTAATAGCGGCTTCCCACGGTCGGCGATATTACGGACGTAAGCGGACCAGCACGCACCACGCACCGTGGGAAGGGTCTCGTCCGTGGTAGCGCAGGCACGTCTGTGCTGTTCCGTCCTATCCATATCCATCTAGAGTCGGTAACATCAAAGGTGCGGTACATGCTCGTGCGACGCGATCCTAGCGCGTCTGTGTTTTAACAGACGACAAGTGCAAGTCAGAAGTTTTTCATTCGCTGACACGAGTAGTTGTCTGTAGTGTTGTCAAAGTTGTTTTGCAGTTTTTTGCTAAAAAATGGAATGGACAAACGAAGTTATTTTTGATTTTTTAAATTTGTATCAAAATGAAACAAATTTATGGAATTCTACGGCACCAGAGCATAAGAAGCGGAACCGATATATACAATGTATGGAACCAAATAAAAAATAAATTGAAGAATAGTACTATTTCGATTAAAGAATTAAAAAAGAAGAGAAATAATTTAATGCCGAATTTAATGTTTACAAGCCTGAGTGGCCTTTTTATGATATAATCAAACAATACTGTCTCAGACCTACACAGACTGCCACGGACCGTAGGAAGAGCTCTGTCTGCGGTGCGTTCTCGTCCGTGCTGATCGGCTGTCCGCGATGATCTGTAGAATCGCCGACCGTGGGAAGCCACTGTAAGGTCTCTCAACGTTTTTTATTATTTTCTAAAATAAGGACACACATAATTTTATTCCATACGTGGTTTCCACACTATATATATATATATATATATATATATATATATATATATATATATATATATATATATATATTATCTGGGTCAAACTATAAAACTTAACAAAGAAAACCAAACAACAGAGATAAAAAGACGAGTTAGACTGGCATGGGTGGCACTTTGCAAACTAAGCTACATTCTTAAAAACACAGCCTCTTAATACCATCAATGCGTACTCCCTGTTCTTACTTATGGTTCCCAAACGTGGACATTTACAAAAGCAAACATGAACAAAATCATAAAAACCCAAAGAGCAATGGGTAGACAAATGTTGCAGATAAAAATAATGAATAAAAAGAGAAACGAGTGAATAAGAGAGAAAACAAAAGTGAGGGATGTTAGACAAGAAGTTGCAAAATTGAAATAGAGATTTGCCAGACAATATGAGACAAAAAGAAGACCGATGGAACAAAATTCTTATAAGTTGGAGACCGTGGTAATATAAACGAAGCAGAGGAAGGCCCCAAATGAGATGGGCAGATGATATCAAGAAGCACGTGGTCTCTAGGTGGATGACTGTAGCGACAGACAGAGAAGAATGGAAAATGATTGGGGAGGCCTATTTCCAAAGATGGACCAAAGAAGGCTAATTAGATAGATATATAGACATGATTAATTATCATTAGGCTTATTATGACTGAATCTCAACCATCCCAAAGTAAGTCCCGCTAAAACACGTTACGACTTGTGTACGTTTTCGCTTCTTCAAAGTATGGCTGCCTTTCTTTTGTTTTTGTTACTGGAGGTACGGGAACTTGTAAACAAACATACTGTGTTGTGATGGAAATTATGGTAGGATAGGAGGCTTCTTAGATCACAGTTATTTGCTCAGAAGGTCAAAAGGTGATACTGTTACTATTATGCTCCAAGCGAGTTTTAGGAACAGTGCTTTGATCAGCATTTTTGGAAATTGTAGGCTATTGCCTGTGATATATTAGGGGAATTGATTCGAGAGTGTTAAAATACTCATCAGGAAGTTTGTTGCCAGCTGAATTTGTTTTTTGAGTGCCTGGTGAGTATGTGTACTTGGCATGTACATTTAAGGACCTTATTTGCTCTGTTGTTCGAGCTTTCGATAGTTCGTCGAAACATATCTTTTGCTTAGGATTTAAATCCAATTTTGTGTGGTAGAGATATTAGCAAGTTGATGTATCAATGCTAATGGATAATCACGTTTATTGATGTCAAGGTATATTCTGGCTCTGTATTCGATAATTAGTCTTATATGTTTTGTATGTGTGGAGGAGAGTAACATCGCTAGTGTTCTCAAATTCATCACACTATAGCATGGCGGTTTTTTCTTTTGGTAATTGCTTTCTAATACAGAGTTTAATGTCCATCCAGCAATTCCTCATTGTTAGTCCGGCGTCTTGTTGTTTATGCCCTTTATGTTTTCTGTTGAAAAGGAATCTTCAAAGAATTTCTGCCTGATATTATTTGCATTCATTTGTTTACTTTATTGGTGATCATAAAATCAATAATTTTATTTTGACTTTTATGAGTTTGAAAATATACATTTATGTTAGTCTTTATACGACAAAATCGACCAGCAATTCCCCATTTTAATTGCACACAGAGTTTCAGAGAATTTTACAAATATATCTATAATACATTCTATGTTTTTAAAATTCGCATTCCTCGTATATTATAACGAGGAATTCAAAGACAAGGAATCGACGAATTTACTTTTCTGGTTTGTCAGTATGTGTTCTTCACGTTTGATTGTTTGTTAAATTATTTTTTGCTTTTCATAGACTACGTATTTATCGGTTTTATGAAATAATGTTTCAACATGACTGTCTACTAATGTTGTGCTTTACTTTTGTTATTTTTTTTGTTCATTCTCACAGCTTAGTTCGCCTTCTTGTTTATATGCCCGTTGCCTGAGCCTTTAATTTGGTTTTTTGTGCTATCTTCTTGTTATCTGTACTTTTGGCGGCAATAATTAAAATTAGAATGAAAAGAGGTATAGTTAAATTATAAGACTTACCTAAAAGCTTCCTTCAATTCTTCTTCTCCATCCGCATCTTTCATTTTCTTCGACATCATCTGCAAAAATTCATTAAACTCGATAGTTCCGTTTCCATCTTGATCCACTTCATTGACCATATCTCGTAATTCAGTTTCAGTAGGCCGCTGCCCTAGGGATCTCATCACTACCCCCAACTCAGCCATTGTGATTGTCCCGTCTTCGTCCTTGTCGAAGAGCATAAAGGCTTCTTTGAATTCGGCCACTTGGTCCTCTGAGAGACCATATTCTGTCTGTTAACAAATTTGGTATTAAAATATAATACAAAAATTATGGTTGAAAATTAAAACACCTACGCGAACAGATAGAACAGATCTGATAATAGAAGAAGAAACATTAGGAACTAGCTTTTAGACAATATACACATAAAAATAGTAGTGTGGTGATATATTGAGAGATATTAAGATCTTAAAGATTCATAAAAAATCCCGAAAAATACTTACTTATCAGCAACTTTGAAAATATAATTAATTCAGTGAACTTTTAATAATATCTCACCTTATATACGATAAATATTTACATTGCTTTTGTTTTTTTTTTTTTCGTTTTTTTTTTAATATTTGACTATTTTAAAGAAGTGTGGAACATCAAAATTATGTATATTATTTGTGTAGTTCACATAATAACTTCCATGTTATCTTAATTCGCAATTAAACCCTATTACAGTAAACAACGAAAATAAAAAATATTAAATTTAACATGAAATTTGAAAAATACATTTACAAATATACCTATTTCATATTTCGGCTAGACCGTGCGCTGTGATCGATTTGACTGTCAACAGCATGCTCTTTACGCATAGCAAATTGACAGTTATTAATTTGCTCATTAGAAGCTGCAGTTAGTGTACCGCTAAAAATAAAATATAGGCAAGAAGCTGGTATGTTCTCAATTCTACCGATTAAAATTCCTGTCTGATATTCCCTCATCATAATCGTATGATTATTTCTGTTTGAATCAGTCAGATCAAGAACAAATGCAAAATCGTACATTTTTAGACATAAATTAGTTTTAACAATATTTCTAGAGTTTTTTATATCCAATATATTTTCCGTATATTGATTTAGCTTTTCCTTAAACTTTATGCCAAGATTTTGTAAACTACTACTAAAGCAATGTCTCTATAATTTGTAAATCTCATTTTGTCACCTTACTGGTATTTTTTTTTATATGCTGTAACGGTATAAACGTCATATCTTATATTAGTTCAGTTTCTTTTTTACTATTTTTTATTCAAAAAGTAGTTGGCGCCCCTTCTTTCTGTTTCTGCCCCGTAGAATAAATATTGGCCCTCTCTCTTTCTTTTCGGTAGAATAAATATTCGCCCTCTATCTTTCTGTGAGCTAGTAAATATTCTGTTCTATGTTGACAGAAGGGCTAATTCCATCTTAGGCACATATCCTATGATATCTGTGCTATCTGTTATACTTCATTATAATCGCTCACTTACTTTCTGTCAATCAACTTTCATGGTGGGATATCGATATACTTTTTTTGTCTGTAATTAAAATTTATAAAAGAAGGTAGGGATTATTATAAGCTTCATTTTATGGTCTGCAGAATTATCTTGGGTTTATGGGATATTTCTGGAACTTTATCTAATAATTTATAGAATAATTTATGGAAAATAACTGCAGTTGTATATAAGACCTTCCCACATAATCTGGATCTGGAGGCAGGACGTCGGACATAAATACATATTTAGAAGCAAGCAGCCCATCGATGCCACACATTTATTTAATGTAAAGAATTAGGCAGGGTTGTTTTTGCTATTTAAATATGTTTTATATATTAAATAAACATGATTAGTTAAATAATTGTTTATTTGCTATCAGCTAAGGTTTCACTGTTTAATTCATAGTTTAAGCTCCCATGGTTGATTGAGGTATTATTTTTATAATAGTATTTCAATTCACTTTGGTAGTCTTACCATTACAATGCTTTTTATTAGTTAGTGTATATGTTTTGTGGCTTTTCCTCCTGACTTTATAATTTCAGCCGATATTTTTGTTTATTTTGGTCTTTTATTGTTTTTTAGTACCTTTATTTCATTTTCTATTTATTCTTCTGTATATATTTCTATTACTAGGTTTCACTATCTTCTTCGTTTTCGCTTAACACTTGTGTAAAGTAACTTTGCCAATTTCTCATTATTTCCTCTGGTTTATTTAGTAATATTCCTTCATCATTTTTCACGTAGGGGTTATTTTGAAATGAAATCTTCTTTCTTTTTTTCTTTTTTCATACTAGAAAGTTTCTTATATTTTTGATTTAAAATTTTTCTTCCATCTCTTTGAGTTTGTTTCGTTGTCTTTTCTTTTTTGTTTTTGTATGTTCTCTATATAATTTTCATCAATTCTCTGTATTCTTGTCTGTTACTGTCACTATTATTTGTTATATTTTTTATTCTTATTTTTCTTATTACTTTTGCTACTTTTTGGCATTTCTCATAATCAAGTTGTTGCTCTAGTATTTTTCTTTAGTTGAGGGAAGAGAAAAAAGTGTGTTTTGTTTCAGGTTATTAATCAGGGAAACATTGAGGACAGTTCTTCTTCTTCTTTGAGTACCGAGCCAAGTTTTAGGCGTGGGTAGCTTCCATGACGATTTGCCGATATCGTTCTCGATCTTGCGCGGCATGTAGTAATTCATCTGCTGATAAGTCAGTCCATTGAAGAAGGTTTCGGAGCCGTAAGTATTTCTTTCTACCAATTCCTCTTCTTCCGTCGATCTTTCGGTTGAGTATCAACTGCATTATTCTGTATCTGCTTCCTCTCATTATATGCCCCAGATATCCGAGTTTTTTCTTTTCTTATCATCTTTATTAAGTCACCTTCACATTGACCTACTTTGTTCAAGATTTCTCTGTTTGAAATGTGTTGAACCCATGAAATTCTGAGCATTCTACGATATAATCACATCTCGAAGGCTTCCAACTTATTCATCATGTTAACCTTCATAATCCAGGCTTCACATCCATACAGTAATACAGGATACCCATAACATTTTAGGAACTTAATTCTCAGCTGTAAGTTCAGCTGAGAATTGCTCAGAATAGATCTAAATTTCATAAATAGAGCATTCTCTAGTGAGTTGATCTATAAGGAATTGAAGATCTTCCATACTTTCAGCCATGATTGCGGTGTCATCTGCATAACTTATGTTATTAATAGTTTCTCCCCCGATTCGAACTTCACATTGCCCTTCCAAGGCTTTATTAAAAAATATTTCTGAGTATACGTTAAACAAAGTTGGGGACAATACACAACCTTGTCTAACACCTCTTTGAATACAAATTTTCTCTGTTTGTTTGCCGTCTATTAGAATAGAAGCTTCTTGATTCCAATATAGATGTTGTAAAAGTCTCAGATCTTTATCATCTATTCCAATTATTTCTAGATATTCAAACAGCCTACCACGTTGAACCCTATCAAACGTATTGTTCTGAAGCTATTTTCTTGTGGCATTGTAAATTAATTACTATTTAACTGGGAATAAGCCACAATTAAAGATAAAAATACGTTTATTGACGTTTTAATTTCCACTTCGGAAATCGTTCTCAAAATACAAACAGTAAATTAAACAAATTTTGTTTTTTGTTACATAGTGAAAAATTCTTCTAATAATTTAATTTTATCTGACTCATTTATATTGACAATTCAGACATACATTATGCATTTTAAAGTAGACGACTTTAAAATGATATTGCCAATATTGTTGAGTTGCGCTCCTGGGACGACTTTACTTATAAGATAGTTCATTGGATTACATGAAATCAACTTTAACTTGAGAATATCCGTCAGAAAAAAATCATAGCATGTAATTCGTCTTTAAAAAGACAAACACATGACATGATGACACTAAAATTCTCCTGTTAGTGATTCCATAGTAAATTATGAGGGAAAAACCAGGAAAAAAACCTCATAATACTATCCCGACATTGTAAGTATTTGTTCGTGAATTTAGTTTACCTTCAACAAACATCAAAATTCTGATTTTATATGTTACGTTATTTAAAAAACATAAATGATGTATCCTCTATATGTTACTGACTTACTAATACTGGTATTTTCTTATTAATAACTTCCTCTTTCAATATTGGTAACCAGATCCTACTACATTCTGCCGAGGAATTTGCGACACAATTGGCCTCATTTAGCATAATTAGAGCCGCTTCTTTGATTTTTCTTTTTTTACCATCCGTTTCTTTTAGGACTACATTTGAATTATTCCATTGAACCCTATGTTCATTATCCCATGCATGTTTACATACTTGAGATCTATCAAATTCTCTATTTTTAATATAAGATTGATGTTCACTTATTCTAACATTTAATGGCCTTGATGATTCACCTAAATAAAACTGATCGCATTCACAAGGTATTTTATAAATGCAATTCTTTGTCCTTTCTTGTACATTGTTAGGTTTGGTTTTGGACAAAATAGATCTCAACGTGTTTGTTGTTTTGAATGTTGTTGAAATGTTGAATTTATTTCCTATCCTTTTAAGTTTTTCTGATAATCCTTTTATGTACGGTATTGTTATTTTCCTCATATTATTACTTCTGTATGCTGTAGGATCTCGTTGTAAGTTGTTCTGTTCTATTCGATCGATTGTTGAAAATTCCTTATTTATAAACGATAAAGGATAATCATTTTTTAATAAAATAGATGTTAACAAATGTTTCTCCTCCAAGAACGAATTTTCGTTAGAACAAGTAATTTTGGCTCTATTGTATAAGGATTTAATTATTCCCTTTTTCACATTAATATTGTGATTTGATTTGAAATTTAAATATCTATTGGTGTGTGTTGGTTTTCTATACACCTGAGTCTCATATCCAGTATAGTTCTTAGAGATTAAAACATCCAGGAAAAGTTAACGTGTTATTATATTTCTTTTCCATGGTAAATGTTATTGTCCCTTCTTTATCGTTTATATCATTTAGGAATGTGTCCAACAACTCTGATCCATGAGGCCATATTGAGAATACATCATCTACATACCTCCACCATACTGTGGGTTTGAAATTTTGTTTAGAAATGATATTTGTTTCAAAATCTTCCATAAATATATCTGCTAAGAATGGAGATAAACTGGAGCCCATTGCTAGACCAAAATTTTGTTTATAGAATTCATTATTTAGTTGAAAATATGTATTATCAGTACATAATGTTAATAACTCCATTATAGCCGATATGGGATATATAACTCAACAATATTGGCAATATCATT